AATACAATAAAAAATAAATCATTGTAAACAAGTAGATACAATTAAATGACTGCTTATATTTATTTTACACGATAATAGGGATCTTATTGATGCCTTAATACTATAGAAGTAACGATATTAAACAATGAAAGTATCGATATTTAGGCACTGATACTGAATTACCAATTCTATCGCCATAGTGATACTTAGAAGCAAGTATTGTATCGCTATGTGTGTGGTCAGAGATTATAAGGTTTGTTCAAATATTTGTACTGAAATATTTTAGTTTTTGCATGTGGTGAAACTTAGTAATATGATTAAGCGTTACCACTGTTTTTTTGTTATTTAATTATAAGGTAAATTGCCAGTTATTGACACTATAACGTGTACCAGGTAGAGTACCAGTAGAGAAAGAAAAGGTGTCAACTACAGAATTTACTGATGCACTCTTGTTATTAGTTAAGTTCCCTACTCCGTCCTGTTGAATTGGGGTTGTCAGCCGTTTAAAAAAAATATTTTACTTTTTCGATACACGGAAAAAAATGTGACTAGAAAATTTTACTACAATGTTGTAGTAGTAGACTTGTAGAAAAATACTAAACAATTTGTAGAAAATTTTACTACAATTTATAGGTAAAAACTATTCATTATTGTAGCGATTGAATTGTCGAATAAAATGCTACAACAATAGGAAAGAATTCCACAATGTTTAGTATATTTTACTATTGTTTGTAGAAGTAGAAATTTATTACAATTATCGTAATTACTACTACTAACTTCTGAAAAAATTTGTACAAATATTAATAATTATCTCTACAAAAAATAGTAATTTTCTCTACAAAAAATAGTAATAATTTACATCCCTTCTTATGAAAAATATTCAATTTTGTTCAAAAATATTCTATAATATTGTAGAAATTCTAAGTCATGTGAACAAAACAGAATTCTGCTATTGGCCAACGTTTTCTGACGTCGATCATAAATGGCCAGACAGCAGTAGCCGTTCGCCATGTTTACATAACAAAGCATGGACATATACGAAGTACCTATAACACATTATTATATTATAAGCACCGATGCGTTTGAGAAAATTTTAATAATAAATTCTATTGGTGGTAAGTACATTTATTATTGTTTCTGAATAATTTACCTGTAGATAACTAATTTACATAACCTTAGTAGATTATTTAAAAAAAAATAGTTGTGCCTAACGATCGAATGTTGTGCCAAATTCAATGAGGTTTTTTTTGCCTTAATTGTGACATACCTACTTTCTCATTTTTGTTAGTTATCTGACTTAGTCATTTAATATCCAAATCAGTGTAAAGGTGATAAATATCCCCGTTTTAAGGGTATGAACAGTTCAATTGTTATTAATTTTTATTTCATATTTTTCAGGTGCAGAAAAGCCAACTGAGACTGGGGGTGCTATTATTACTGTTATTTATTACATAATGTAATTAAGACTTTATATCTTTTATATTAAAACAATAAATTGAATATTTTATTAAGGAACATTTTTTCTAGGTTATAATTATAATAATTATGGAATACTACTACAAGTTTTATTAAAAATTACTACAATTTGTATGAATTTTTACTATTTATTGTGTAAAATTTTCGTATTTATTTTCATAAAACGCAATACATTTTTAATATAAATTCATAAAATGAATAGCAAAAATTATAATAATTTGTAGAACAATTCTTATGATGCATTTGGATATTTTTACTAAATATTGTAGATAATAACTCTACAATACATTCTCTACAAATATTTGGAAATTTTTACTACAAATTGTCCCTGTCCCTATTTGTACTATTTATTGTAGAGAAAAAATCTACAATTGTAGAAATTTGTTCTACAATTTTTTTTCCGTGTACTTTGTGTTAGCAACCCCGTAAGAGACGCCGCTGGAATATCTAGTACTAGAACAGAAGTAAAAGTTGGAAATGCTTTTGCCAGTTCTCCCACTTTATACACATACATTGACAGGTTGGCAGCGAATCTCCCCGAAGTGGACGCGATACATTGGCGTACAAAATTATTTTATAGATGTTAATAACAATTTGCAGTAAATAGTTTAATAAATTGTGAATAGCTGTTGAAATTTTGTAAAATTATAATTTGAATATTATAATACATGTTTAATAATTATTTATAATCCATAAATACATGCGATTGTCCGGTTCCGCCGATAACAATTTAAAATTACTTATTTTATGAAACGACACTGGCAGGTAAACATTACTGTGAAATTCTCGGAGCCGCCCGACGTGGTTTGACGTTTACCCCCTCTCTACCTACCGAAAGACTTTTCAACTTTTACTTTCTCTATATGACTCATTAGGCGATAAGTCGAAATCACCAGAAATTATATAAGCGTTTTATTTAGATATAGGGCATTATTGTGCGAATCATTATACAGTTTAGTCGAATATAATAAATAGTGAAGTTAAATAGTCGAGTTTAGTGTTAGCAACCCTCTCCTAACATTTGTTACTCGAGACTTATAAATATCAATATCTTTAACATAATAACGAGCAGTATCGATGCCTCTACCACAAAGTATCTCACATGATACCAGTATTGATACCTTTGACCGATACTCATAACCCTATTCCCAACTATAAAAATACAAAAACAGAGAAGTCATATACTGCCATCCTAACAAGAGAAGTCCTATCTGAAAATTTATATTTATTATCTTTTAAACCTTTTTTTGGTAACTTTTTAAAATTTTAGTACCTTTGTTGCGAATAAGACATTCCATTTCAGTATCGAGAAAGATAAAATGTAGACAAATGCACATTAAAAAAACTGCTAAATTTGCGGATAAAACCTTTAAAAATTTAAATTTGTTACGTTTCAGTAAATTAAGTATTACCATTGCTGGACAGTAGTGACATTTTGGTGGATAAATACAGCATTTCACTGGATATATACCTATGCCATATTGCTGTACGTTTACTGCACAATACCAATTGCTGGACAAACTTTAAAAATGCTTTACAATACAGAAAAATTGCTGTAAGTATGGTCGCCCTAGTGTAATAATATTTTAATCACTAAAAATAAATTTTAAATATATTGTGTTTTAGGTTTCCTTTGTACTGGATTATAATTCTAGTAAAAATCTCAGGAATTTTAGAAGCTAAAGTTAATACAGAATTGGTTGAAGAAGAATATATAACATCTGAGAATATTTCTTTTTCTTTCATAGCAGAATATCATGCTAAAAAACATTGTTCTGTATAAGTTGAACATCCATTATTAAGTATCAAATTTGAAAAAGTCAAAATAAATGTTATTTATTTAAAAAAACAAAGTAAGTAAAAATCAACTAAAAATAGGTGCAACGATTTAAACGAGCATATTTTTCATTTTCTTTCTTTATATATATATATTATTTTCTTAATAATAATTAAACAAGTAAATTTAATATCTACAAAGTTATTTTTACGGAAGAAACTATGTAATTAAGTTCACATATTTATTTGTTTACAGTACGCTACGGATACATAAAGTTCTAAATGGTTAAAATATCAAAATAAAATAAAAAAGAAATTAATAAAATTGTCACAGTATAAAAATTAAGTCAATAGTGTAATAAAAGTTGACACTTTAAAAAAATAAACCTTTTAAAATGTCATAATTTGAAAAATACTTATTGTAATTGGACATCAGTTGGTCTACAAATAAATTATGTCCATAGTTAGTTCTATGGGCATTTACATAAAATAGTTTCATATGCCTAGTAAGTCTGGCAGGAACAAGGAATCTAATAAAGTGTACCAGGCTGTCACTATCAATCAAACCGTTCAATAACTTATACAGGAAAACAAATGATGTTTCTCGACATCTGCATTCCAAACTCTTATAGGTCCCTCTCAAAAATAACATGAAGATCATTTATAGTTTGCTCAAAACTTAGTTCAGAACCTGCAATGATAATCATGCATAATGATATTAGCTGTTTTATTAAACCTTATGACTTTACATTTATCAATATTCAGTTTAAGCAAGTTATATTAAAACTATGATTAGTACCAGTTGTAGGCAAATATCTTTTTTTAGCATCCTACAACTGCCATCTTAATAAAAATCTAGTGACCTTTGAAATATACCTTATGTAAATACACTTTTTACTACTTTTGTACAATCGTGCACCATTTTAGCTACCAGTGAACCTTTGCAATATAGGTACCTTATTATACTCTTTTGTGCAAGCGTTCAGTGTTTTCGATTCTAGTGAACCTTTGAGATATTCCTTATATATCCTTTATACCTACTTTTGTCCAATTTGTCAGTGTTTTTTTTACCTATATTATTAATACCTACCTCTACTTGTATGATATTGGTTCTTGATTTCAAAAGCTTTTTAATAATAAATTTATACAATTTTTTATTTTGTTTTCTTCAGATTTTACTATATCCTCAATATACTATTTTGAATATAGTGTATCCAAGGATGGACATAACTATACTTGTAAAGATATTTATTTTAAATTTTTCAAGAGGTCTTTTTCATAATTTCTCAACGTTAATCGTATTTATTTAACAAGCAAAAGAAATTATGAAGAAGTACTTTTAAATTTAAAATAAATATTTTTACAAGTATTGTTAAGTCCATCCGTGGGCACACTGTATAATACTGTAGAATGAATTCACATTATAACATCTATAGAAAGTTTCAGAGCAACTTTCGGGGTAAGTACTGTAAAAGTGCTAGTGTGATGTTTTCCGAACTTCAATTTTGTAACCTCTGTGAGATGTGCTATAAAAGTCTTGCCGTTGCGGACATTCGGCGGTTGCAGGGATAATAGGGTTACATTAAAAGTACATCGCATGCGAGCTTAAAAAGCCTAAAATTGCAGCTTATTAACGTAGATGGGATGTTTTTGTGCTAGCTGGGGAGTACCTAAACTAACTGAATGTAACATATACATCTAAATTCCGCTGACGGGATATTACAATTACTAAAGCAGAAATTTAATATAAAACGTGAATAAAAAGCAAAAACAGCATATAAAATAATATCGTATATTAAAAACCAACTTATACAGTAATTATTAAACTAATACACAACAAGTCTCTCCACATGGGCATCCCTTGCGGCCTGAATTCAAGTTTTCCGGACATGTTTTTACGGCCATGCAAGTATTGTGAGTTTGAAAGCAATTCACTTTGTCGGCAGGAACTGAAATATAAAACAAAATAGAAAAATAAATATGGATGTGTACTGAGCTGGTTACGTTTGTAGCTGATGATACTTCAGAAGTAAAATATTTATTAACTACTAGATAGATCAAGTAAAAACACAAACGATTTTAAAACGTACGTGTTAGTTACATACGGGCAAATGTTAAACAATCACAATTGATCATTCTACCACATTATTTTTGCGACAGACGTACTAGTTGAAATTTCCCTAACAACTATATCCTATGGGTCCATTCCCACTAACCTACGATTTTTACTATTTTCACAATGTGCTGGTGACATTTAGTTTAATTTCCTACTACGCCTTGTACGAGTACATTTTTTTAAGTACGTTTTACTTGTCTGAACTTGTTTCTGTGCCTATGCGAGTACAACAACACAAAACGCTCCTAATAATTCGGAGAATATATATTATTTACTTATGTTAATATTCTTAGTTATATTTCGTATACTCGTCCAAATAGATATTACTAGGATTGCCAGCTTTAAGGCGTAATTGTCTCGCTTTTGCACTTGCTCACGCGCGTCAAGCCAAAGTACCAAAATGTCCCGATTTTAATCTGCATGGCACGATTTTTAAATATCCATAGTTATAAATGAAGAATGCTTGTGAAGAGATAAGACCTTTTTTTAAAAGCTGTCATAAAAATGACCTGGTTTATAAAATTATAAAAAATAATCCGAGGACCTTTTTTTAGAAGCTTGCCAGAAGAACCTGGTTTAATAAAAATATAAGTTGAGGACCTTTCTTTTTAGAAATTTTACAAAAAAAATGATCTGATTTTATAAAAATACATGGTTTTTTAACCTGATTTTTTAACCTAACCTAACCTAATTTATTTATTTCAATTTATCTTTTCAGTCCAATACTTTATTCTAAACTACTCTTCCGTCTTCAAACTCGCGATATTTATATCAAGCCAACTCTGTAACTAGAATACTCTGGGCTTTCGAGACGCTCTCGAATGTCACCCGAAAATTCTATCTCTATGACTCAACGGCCCCGTATTGCTTTTTCTGATAAATTCCCGAGAGGCGGTGCGTTTGTCTCTGTACGTCTCAGCGGTGTTTCGATCATGAGTCGGTTGACTGTTCAAGGTCGCTGCGCTTTCCAGGGACGGCTTAGGAATTCCCATGACATTTGGAATTATTTTCTTTTTTAATTATTAGGTGTAAAATAGATAATTTGTTATTTATTATATTTTTCTTTGGCGTAAATGTCATCACCGTGCACTATTTTATTTTTTTCTCCACTTTAAAGCGGCAAAAAAATTAAAAAAATTGTATCTAGGCGCAATTTACATTCATGTTTTAATTTTTTTTTGTCAAAAATCACGTTGATTCATGTTCAGAGAGAAGCCAGAAAATGTTTAAAAAACAAGTTGAGAGCAACCCGTAATGGCTTCAGCCTTACATTTAATTTAACATATTTAGTTTAGTTTTTTTAATTTTAAATAAAATATAATTTATTTTTTAAAATATTTAGGTTGAGATTTCAATTTTTTTATTATTTATTAGATTTTTTTTGAAAAATGATAATTTTTCGGTATTTTTGTCTACAAAAATGGTTATAGATGTTTAAAGACACACCAAATATAGTATATTAAAAAACTAACTACTAATAACGTATGTGTAGGTATTTCCCCAAAATGTATAATATTGATTTGCTTACAGCCTTTACAGCAAACAGCTCCTAATTTCTTTTGGCCTGGACATAAATCTTTATGTTCTACTTCCACATCATGACCACACTCATTTTCTAGCAGGCAATATCCTCCTTTGCAAGTCTCTTCGTGGTAAAAGTTTGACTCTGAAAATTATAATTAGTTATATTCTATTAACAAAGAAAAAATAATAAAATATGTTTCATTAATTTAATAACAAATTTCATAATAATGAAATAAATGATATGAAAATAATATAGTTTGTATATAATTTTTGAAGACGCTTATAATGATCCAATACATTTTGTTGACCTTATACAATAAAACAAAATATAAATTGCTTTGGCACACTTTCTAGTATTCTGATTATTATAAAACATATGTCACTAAAATTTTGTGAACCGTCTTGTATATTTTAATGTAATTTAAATGGAAACATTGAAATAAAAATATCAAAATATTATTCACAATTATCATTCACTTTATAATTAAAAGTGAAAGTAAAATCAAGTTAAATATAATTAATAACAAAAAAGATCTTACTTATTGGTTTTTCAATGGCGACACCTACAACAAAACCAAAAAGAGCGAACAAAAATAAACTGGATAGCTTCATTTTTCTATTAATAAGATTTAATTATATGGATGAAATTTATAAACCAGCTGTGTTAAAATTAAACAAACTGCTAATTGAAACAACGTTATTTATAAGTAAACAAAAACAGATAAAATGAAATGGCAATTTAAATACAACGGGGAAAAACTATTTAATGCAGGAGCGTACGGAAATATTGTGCACTCTGTAGATGAGTTAAATAAAACTGTAGAATATTTCACATTTTGTTTATATAATCACAATCTCACATAATTTGATTTATTATGATTGCGATTAGTACATTTATTACATAATTGATTATGTATGTTGTGGTGATGATTTAAATAAAATTCTCAATTTTCAAAACAAGTATATATTATATACCGCAAAACAGAGTTACTTGAAAACAGCGGAGTAACTTGAAAAACGTGTTTATTTTAGAAGCAAAATAAAAATAAAAGAAAGAAAAGTGAGAAAGTCTATTTAAAAGCAGATTTGGAAATGCTGAACATGACAAATCCCTGATTCCCCCTATGAAATTATGAAAATTACACCTTCATATCCTCAAAGTGAAAACGAACCAAAGAAAAATTGAAAAAGTTGAAAATTCTCAATTAGTTTTTAGGGTGGTAGTTTATATCTCCGTTATTATAGAAGATAACCAAAAAGTTATTTACTATATACAGTGTCGGCTATTGAACGCTTTCCAATAAGCTTTGCTAATCTCGAAGTGGTATTGTGTATACAGCGAGAGATATCCCGCACTTAATGCTAACTTTAAAGTTTTCAATTGGACATTAGCAAAGCCTATTGGAAAGTGTTCAATAACCAACACTCAGAGCAGAGAACTGCATTAAAGTATTCATGAGTAGTTCACAATAAGTATCTCCACAAAATACTCATTATATGCGCGCATTGGTTCTCGAACTTATTACTCGTCAGCTGTAGGAATCAGAAGTACTGAGAACTCTAAAATGTAAAGTATTCAAACATTTTAAGTACTGAGTCTCACGTGGATAAAAGTACTCACTTGTACCATTTACTGAGTATTTTGAATAGTTAAGTACAATTTTGAGGTACATTTTACTCGGTTACTGCCAAGTTCTGCCGACACTGTATGCTGCTTACTTTAAAAATATGTTGACCTAGATATTTCGGGTGTAAAGTGAATAATTTACGGAGTAACAAAATTAATTTAAAAAATGTGTGTTTGCTTCATCACTTGGTTATGAATCACCCTTTATATAAACATAGTAAGGAACATAAAGTTAGATACGTATTGGTCATGAATATTGCCAGTGCATTGGCCAACGTGAAGTGGAGCCTTAAGACTAACCAGTCTTAAAGCATAATACAAAAAATTACAGAGGTATGACTTAGCCGACAAAATTTCGTCGAGTTCGCGTATGACGTATTGTGGTGCAGATTAAAATGTATTTTCGTCTACTTCCTCAAATTCCTAAAAGCCACGCCTTCCACCACATAGTATCAAATTGTATTATTATTATTATATAATGTTATTTTAACGTTATTATTAAAATTTTGCGTAATAATTTAAAAAATTATATTATATATTATTAAAATTAATTTCAATGTTAATTAGGTTATTTTTGTTACAATAATTTTATAAACTTATACTTCGCTAATAGCTACTGATAAAATGTATTTCCCACATTATAAATAAATCCTGATGACAAATTAAGTCAAAACATTTCTCATAATTTTTTATCTTCAAAAAATTACGAAAATTGGGTACTACAATACAAATAAGTCTGGACCAGAACATCTCCCTACTCCTTCCACTGAGTTTTTCGGTTTTTGGCAAAATTTTCACATCGGCAAATCCTTTCTATGCTACCTTTCCCTTTCTAGCTTCTTTGCTGCCTCCTAATAGCACCCACCTAACCTAGCCTTTGGACGATAGTATTTTTAATTAAAATTAAGTTATATCTAGTTTTAAGAGATTGGATAACAAACAATGAAGGGCATTTCTGATTATAAAGGATTTGTTTTCTAGGCTATTAAGATATTTACAGAAGCAAAAATGTTATGGAACAATCTTTAAGAGGAATATTTCAAGTTGCAAGATTTAGAAAGACAGGAACATCTGGTGTAACTTAAAAAAAATCTAATGGTAGAACCAGGAAAAAGTATTTGTGAAAGAGATGTTGAAAACCCGAAAGACGAATGAAAAGCCAACTTTCAAATTCTGGCAGTGTAGAAGATGTTTTATTATTATTATTATTTAGAATATCTCAAGCGCTTCTGGACTACACGCGATGAATCTGATGATGAACCCGAACAATTTTCTGACTTGAAAAATAATTTCCTTGAGTATTAACTCGAAACAGTAAACGAATAAAAATGAACCGATTGAAGACGAACTCTCTAATGACGAACTTAAAGACGAAAATGAACTTAAAGACGGACTTTAAGTAAGAACATATTATAAACAATTAATTATTAAAAAATTATGGTTTATCTTCAAATAAACCATCTAAAGAGGAATTTCCTGAAGATGAAAGAAGTAGACCTAGTAAATAAAAACCTACAAAAATGCCGTGAAAGGATTAAAGAGAGGTGACTCTATTTTTGTACATTTAGACACACAAAATGGAACTACCAAAAAGTTAAGAGAATTCGGAAAAATAAAAAATAGCTATAAGTACATCCGACAGTTGAAAAAAAATGAAATTAAGAAGCTAACTAAGTATTACGAAAATCTTAAGAGCAAAACGAACATTACAAATTCCTTCTGCGTCTTAATTTTTAGTCCGATTTTTGTGAAATTTTCAAAAATTACCAATAACGAAACTTTTTTTGTAAACCTTCAAAGAAAATTTATTTTGACAATTTTTAAAAGGAATTTAAAAAAAAAACAAACGCGCCATTCTGTATTACTTCTATGAAAATTTGCTGTTTTTTGTTTTAATAAATAACCTAGTAGTCACAATGCGTCACAAACCTGAAAATTGAAAGTCTCAATACTTTTCATCGTCTTTCGTTCAAAATTGTTTTTAGTTTCTTTTATGCTACTTGCAGTCCTGATAACGTGGGAATCGAATATTTAAATTTTGTTATTTCATTCTTTTGAGTAGGTTATTTCGAGAAGTTGTTCATTTTAATAAGAAAAAAAAACGAGTCAACAAATGTTTAAATCGGTTTACCTCTTCGAGCATCACGTCTATAAACTTTAATACAAATGCAAACACATTCTTATATTATGAGTACTTATTTCAAAACGTTGGTTCTTGCTGCTGGCATACGAATATGATATTTTCATTTTTAAGGTTGTTTGAACATGTTTATGATATAAATTCGATATAATGATATTTGTTTTGCTGTTTTCATGCTTTCATTTAAACCCTTAATAATCCTTTATTTGAGATCCAAACACACTTCATGCGAAGTGATTAAACAGGGGAGAATCTCAATGTTTAAAATACATTTTTCCGGATGAAAGTTTCCCTTTTTCTTTGATGTTTGTTTCACATCGGATGCAGATGAAAGGAAAAATTTTATAAATATGAATGACGAGTCTAAAAGATCACACTATTATTTTACTTGAAACAGATTTGGAAATATCTATAGTGTTTTCTCTTTTTATACAATATCGAGAAATGTTCTTTACATTTCTACATTTAAAAGGTAGAATAATTTTTTAATACATAAAAATGCAGTTTATACCAGTAACTGATGAACTATTCAGTGGCGTACTCTTGGGGGGATAATGGGGATGTATTCCCCAGGAACCCAGTACGTTCACAAACTCAAACATATCTTTGAAATGATAAGTGATATAATAATTACTAAATCAAATATATCATATATGTGTTAGAAGTAACTTAATAAATAAAAATTTAAATTGTTTCAAAATTGTTGTGAGGAGTTTTCGCGGCACTTTAAAAACGAGTTTTCTGCTTGTATCATTGTCGATGATTTAATTCATCGTTGAGTCATGTAATATGGTATCAGCTCGTGGACTAGGCGACTAGATTTTGTTATATAAAATTGAATATTCAAATTACAATAAAAATTTGTTCCATGTACATATTTGTTATCCCCCCCCCCCCCCAATATCCATATCTGGCTACGCCAGTGGAACTATTGTCTTACAAAAATAAAAAATTAAGTCTACTAAGCGTGAACTAAGTAGGTACACTAATAACAGAAGCTGTTGAAGATATGTGATTACACATAATACACATTGTCATGCTGTAGAGTCCCAATAAATTAGTGAAAAAAATAGCAGCTCAAACAGTTCGAAACTATGTTTCGGATATTGATTCTCCTACAATGTATATAAGTATACCAAGTGACAGAAGTTTTAAGGAAAACTCATTAATTACTCAAGAGTGGTCGGGATTGATATTAAAAAAATATTAATCCTGCACTCCTAATACCTCGCTCTGTAGAGTTGTAAACTTGGGGACCATAAGAAAGTTACTTGTAATGTTCTGAAAAATAACATTCTAAAATAAATTAAGAAAGTGAGGGGTTCTTTCCTAATGATTGTTTGGGCGATGTCAGAAGATGAGTTACTTGGACTTGAGACTCCTTCATGTTTCTGTTTTATTTTTTTGCGTGCTATAAAAAGATGGATGTTAGGGTGTTGGTGAGTAAGAGACCACAGCAGTCACAACAAGAAGAATTGACACTTAGTACTCTAGACAGCTGTCGTTACAATGGCATTTGAATAATAATGTAATTTAAAAAATATAGATTTGTCGTCAACTTTAATTGTTTTGGAATTTATTCCTGAATTTCCTTTTTTAGGGTTGCGTACTCGAAGGGTAACCAACGGGACCCTATTACTAAGCCTTGGCTGTCCGTCCATCTGTCTGTTAGCGGGCTGTATCTCATGATCCATAATAGGTAGACAGATGAAATTTTCACAGAATATGTTTTTTGTTGCCGCTATAACAACAAATAATAAAAATTAAAATAAGTTAAAGGAGCTCGCCTACCAGAAATGTATTTTTTGCTCGATCCTTTATTAAAATATTAAATTTTGTAAGATGGTGCAAAACTCTTCAAGAGCGCGTCCAACTCACACTTTGCCGGTTTTTTATTTAAACTTAATTTTAACAAATTTTGACAGTAGAAATGTAAAAAGTGAGGGATCCTTTTCAATGATTGTTTGGACGATGTTAGAACATAAGTTACGGGAACTTGAGACTCCATGGTTTTATTGTTTTGGGTTCCTTCCCTATTGCAAGAAAAGTTTACATTTATTAATC